CAAAAGAGACTCCTATATTATTTAGAGTTTTAATCAGCATGTATTATTTTATAATGAAAATGATAAAATATCTCACAAGTTAATAAACAGCTTGAAGGGACAGTTTAGAATATTGCTCAAGATACACAGCGCCCTGACTAGGCAAAGCTTATGTCCTAATTAAATACAACTATCAATTCTGCACTGAAGATAACCATCAACAAGTCCATATGAGAAAAGCTGAGGCATTACTCACCTTGAACACTTCAGAGAAGAAGCCAGACCCTATTTTTTCACAGGTGAAGTCATCTAAACGTGTCAGTCTGGAAAAGGCACTTATAAGAGCCCGATATGAAGATGGCCAAACTCTTCCCACCTGGATCGTGTTCCCATCCCCTCCACCACCTCCTTCAAAATCTTCAAGACGCTCCACACGTGGAGGAAATCCTGCAATTGAATTCCGTTTGCTTCGATCCATAGTCACAATAATCACTTTTTTCTTCTTCTAAGAACGAACTCCACACATAACTTTCCGTTGAGTTTTACTTTTCTTCCGATTTGACACTAAACAAGAGATAAAAAAAGACACTACATTAAAACCATTAATAAATAAATACATACAAACCAATGAACTATCAATGTAAAAATATTTCCTCTTTCACATTCAAATTCCTGATTTTCAGATCTAAAAAACACTTTATTCCTTTACCTTCAAACAACAGTGATATATTTAAAGCTGAAGATGTAGTCAGTAACATGTGTAGACTACAATGAAGATCACCAATTACATTCTAAAAAACAAAACAGCAATGATACTATCTCTCATTCATTGAGCACTCACTACCTAGGAAACATAGTATAAAAGTAAAAAATATGTCATATCATTTGATTCTTTAAAAAAATCCATGATATGATTATGTTAATTTCATAGAGTGGTCAAGTAATCATACAGTCACTAAATGGCAGAGATAAAATTAAAATGCAAGACTGTCTGATTCAAAAGCCTGTGCTCCTACCATACCAATGCCCTTCATAGCCTCATATAGTTTCTCTTCATTTGAAAAATTATTAAGTCCAAAGAATGTATACATTTTAAGAGATGTTATCTATGTATTAATTTTTGGAGTTGAATTGAATTACGGTAACAATGTGTAGTATGATGTTCGCTCAAAAGATGGCGTTAATCAAATGAATGCTAGCATCATACATTGTATTACAATTTTAATAGTTTTTTTCCTTTCTTAAAATGTGTATACATTTTTTTGGCACCCTCTGTATATAAAACAAAGGTGATAAAGATTTTATATTTAAAATTATATAATTAAAAAAAAGAAAACTATATCCAAAAGCAACTTAAAAATTCACTGTTGATTAAACAGCACAGTCCAGCAGAAGTGACCACAGACGGCTCCACCCTATCTGGTACATAACAAAGAACAAAAACACAAGCCCACTTTTTCCTTTAGCCTGTCTCTCTCTACTTCTACTTCTTTCCATGAGAATCAATTTTAAGGGTCTTATGCAAAGTACAACCATGTGACTCTTCAATTAGTGAAATACTTTCATAAATGTGGTGAATACATAACTCAGACAACCTTTACCAACAGAATGGTGGCAGGGCTCCCACCTATACAATATGACCCTACCTCCCAAGCAAAAGCCAGAATCAGTGACACTCTACCCAATATGGACCAATCACAGTTCTTTTAGTAATTTGGAATTAAGATATTCCAGCTTCAGNGTTATTTTTCTCATATAACAAAAACCCCAGAGGGAGGCAGGTGAATCATTAATTGAGCTACTCCAAGATGTCAGAGCTGGCTTCTCTACAATTCTCAATGCTATCAGCATCATAATCACCAGATGACTACTGCAGCTCCACAGCAGGAAGAAGAAGAAAGAGAATCACCAGTTCTACCTTTCCCTTTTGTCAGGAAAAGCAAAATCTCTCCCATAGGCCCAACAGATTTTCATTTATATTGCAACACCCAGAACTGTGTTCATGTGGCCACCTCTAGCTTCAAGAAAGCACGGAAAGTAACTCACCTGGTAACTCGCCATAAACAAAACGGAGGGTTCTTATGGAAAGAACTCTATTGCCAGTATCCAAAAGATACTGACCACAGACTTAAAAGATCTAAATAGAGATACATATCATGTTACTCTAGTTCATGAAAACATGATTCAGAATGTTAAAGATGTCAATTCTCCACAGATTAATTCTAAAATCAATGTATTCCCAATAGAAATCCCAGAGAAGTTTTCATAGAATTTAACAGATTTTAAAATTCACATTTAAGGGCCAGCTGAGTGGCTCAGTTGGTTAAGAGTTAGCTTAAGAGCACGAGCTCTGAGCAACAGGGTCACTGGTTCGATTCCCCCATGGGCCAGTGACACTGTGCCTGAGCTGAGCTGCTGCTGAGCTGCCAAAAGGTGGCAGGATGGCTCAGCTGGTGAGAGCACATCTCCTAACAAACAAGACTGCCTGTTCGATGGTGGGCTACCCCAGCCCGCAACTAAGACTGAACTCGGCACCTTGAGCTGAGCTGCAACCCGGATGGCTCAGTGGATAGAGCGTGCACTGTTAACAACAAGGCTGCTGGTTCAACTCAAGAATGGTGGCTACGCCCACCCGCAACTAAAATTGAACACAGGACCTTGAGCTTAGAAGCCACAAGCTGCCAATGGGCAGCCAGATGGCGACTGGAGCTCTCCACAACTAAGATTGAAGAACAACAACTGGGCTGTTCCCCTTCCCCAATTCTCCAACACTGTTCCCCTCCCCCAATTCCCCAATTAAAAAACAAATTCACATTTAAGAAGATCTATTTATGAGTATCCAATGTGACTTAAAAGGACATTTTAAAACAGTGTCGTATGACAGAGGAAAAGAAATTTAAACAGTGGGACAGAACAGCGTTCAGAAAACAGATATGTGTTTAAAAGTTTATTTTTGTTTCTCTTTTGATTTAATTATATAAAATTTAATACAGGTTTAATTAAATGAATCACACACACACACACACACACACACACACACACACACACACTAAAAAGTTCTAAAGAACCTTGCACCACCCCTCCATAAGTAACTAATATTCTTAGTTTCTTAGATATTCTCAGTTTCTTTATGACTAGGGAATCAAATACAATTTCTTACTTTTTTGTTTCTCTTTTAACAAAATGAAGCATCTCATGCAAAATACTCTGAACCTTGCTTTTTAAACTTATATCTAAGAGATCTTTCTGCATCAGAACTTCAGAGCTTCCTCAATCCTTTATACACTTGCAAAGTATTACATTACATGGACACTTAATAATTTACTTAACTAGTCCTCTATGAATATTTGGGCTATTTACAAACATGCCATTAGAAACAATAATCTTATAAACATGCTATTTAGCATGCATGCAAGTATATCTGGATGATAATCCCCAAAAGCACAATTTCTAGCTAAATCAAATAGAATATACCTTAGAAATCTTGATAGCTATTTTCCATTTGCACCCTCCTCCCACTATAGAGGTTATACCACTTTACTTTCCCACCATTAACATATGAGAGTGCCTATTTTCCCATAGCCTCACCAAAATAATGGCATTATCAAACTTTTAGATTTTTGATACAGGATGATTAAAATGGTATACTCATATATTGCATTTTAATTTGCATTGCTCATTAATTGGGAAGTCGAGCAACTTTTCATATATTTGACAATCACGTTTCCTTTCCTGAAAACATTCTGCTCATAAGCTAACGCAGCTTTCTACTGAGCTACTGGTTTTTCTACTGATTTCTAGGCACT